TTCTCAGCAAGTTACTATAGAAACTAGAATATATGCTTCTCATGGATGATACAATAAATACATTAATATTCTCAGCAAGTTACTATAGAAACTAGAATATATGCTTCTATGATGATACAATAAATACATTAATATTCTCAGCAAGTTACTATAGAAACTAGAATATATGCTTCTCATGGATGATACAATAAATACATTAATATTCTCAGCAAGTTACTATAGAAACTAGAATATATGCTTCTCATGGATGATACAATGAAACCTACTGGCATTGATAAAGTAGTAAATATTTTGACTCTAAACATTTCTATAAAGTATTTAAATACAAAGATTGTACCGTTCATGACTTAAATGTCATTCCTCAGCAATCTGAAACTAACTTTTGTATCAAGCGGGAACTTATGTCCGAAGACCAGTTTATCTGGAAAATAAACAGAAACAAATTGACCAACGGAAACTCAAGAAACTTATAAAATTTAAACATAAAATATGTTGAAAAATAAAATATCGTACGTAGAGCACAAAAGTAAAACATATTTGAAAACGTACATTTATAAAAGTTGACACAGATGAAAGAAAATTGGTCCTGGATACTATTTTCAAATATGCTTTTGTTTGTTTGTTCGTTGTATTTCGCGCACAGCTGCTCGAGGGCTATCTGGGCCAAGCTTTCTTAAGTGTCCATTTTTCAACTGGAAAAATGTTGGAAAAATTCTTCTCTTATAAGTATGATTTATATAGTTCTTGAAAATATAACTACTTAAAAACCTTGTACCAAAAATCTAGCACTCGGGCTACATTCTGTCATATTTTTACACTACTGTTTTTCACGTGTATTCTTCTTTACCACTCACACCATTTGGATGTTAGTCATACAGTTAAAGAGATACGCACCTGTTATGTAATTCCATATTCAAGGACTTTTCTTGCAGGAAAATGAGTTGATTTGTGACTAATACATTTCATGTCCACCCTTCCCCAATCATCTGCACATAGGGGAAATTAAAGATGGCGGAAAAAGCATTTTGCATTCTATATATTCCCCTCTGAAGCAAAACTGAAGTGAAGAAGGAACACGTACAGGAGTTCATGCAATTTCATGTTCAGAGATTTTTATTGGAGAATGCAATTTACTCTTATCCTTTCAACTACTGATTACAACAAATGTCTTAGCTGTTGTGTATAACGATATAACAAAATGACATAATCTGAGTATCTACACTAGATATATGCGTAAATGAGATCACGTGGTTTAAAAAAATCTAATTTTATTACAAGCTCCAAATGAATATACCAAAAATATTTTTTGATACCCTGTGTTTGGGGTATGATCAAATCAAATTATATACCTCCCGGATGGATTTTAGACTAATATTTTTATTTACTCAAACATTTGTAATTACTGTCTTGAAAATAAATACCCGTAAAGGAGAACACATGATTACGGTGACATGTTATTTTGGATATTTTTA